TTTTTTTTTTTTGATAGGTAATCAGAAAATTTTATTAATCAAAAAAGACATGATATTAAATTTATAACCAAACTAATATTATGGAAGCTGCTAACACGAAGAAAACGATACATACTAGATGTACTGCACATTAAACAGACATCTTTTAAGTATAAATGCTGGGAGAAAAAGGAACAAAGAAATAGTTCTTCATTTTGTTTTCTTGTTTGTTCTTCAGTCATGTACTAAAATATCAAGCAAGAGAAATGGTTCTTTCTCCTTTTATTGACTTTAGAATAGTAGTAATTTTTATTTATTTAAAGAAAAAGCTTATAACTGAGAAAAAAAAATCATGAGGAAAAACTATTAAACCTCAAAATATGTTGAAGCAGTGTATGGTGGAAGGAGAAAGTTGAGCCTTTTGTGCTGTGCATGTATACAATAAGTTAATCTTTATTATGATTTTGATACTTTAGTTAATAACCTAACATAATTTCAGTATGTTAACTATAAATTTTAATATAAACAAAAATATATTGATACAGACCAACATTATCTCCTTCAAAACTCGTCATTACTGCCTGAATGTACAAGTGAATCCTAATAAAAAAATGGATAAACACGTTCCAGCAATGGAGTCACCGCGCTGGAAAATAGTCCACGGTACGCTAGAACTCAATCACATTTATATTTGCATGGTTCTAGCATCAAGTGTCTCTGTGAATGCATAACATGGGTGAACTATGACACAAATATATTATATCTAGAGGAAAACTTTTCATCTAGTGTCAATTCATCCTAAACCTCTAGTAATAGGGGTATAAGCTAGGTATGGATTATGTCAAAATTTTCCCCCTTCCTCGTAATTTAGATACCGACTATCTTCTGTAAATCAGGATTCGTGTATGGAAAAGGTATCAAATCAAGTGAACTGCTCTCGATGGATTTAGTTCAAAAATAAAATTAAAACTTCAAACTTTCCAACCTGTTCGAAGCACCCTACGACTTAATTAACAAATCATAAGACCATGCATTGGTTGCCCCAAGTATGAAGCATTGTAGCCTTTCAGCGAATTGGGTGCTAATAGATCATGTAATGCATCTAAACCATGCTAACCTATTGTACGCCAGTTTATCGTTACAGAGGTCAATTATGAGCAGCCAAATCAACACTATTGGTACTAAACACATCCAATTTAGAGCATCTTCTGCAACAGGTACTTGCAAGTGACAATAGTACATCTCAATTACGAGAACCCAATACAAAGACCTGTTTCTAGATGATGAATATGAATATAACCCAATATCTGTGATACCAGGTGACATTTTCTCAGGAGTGTTGCAATATCTATACTAAAACGGTTCCCTCCGCCAAGTTATGGAGATTATTTGACAACAATGTTTATATCAGACCAGATTTCCTGAATACAAACAGAGTACAAGCCAATTTTTCTACTAAACTGATCGAACCAATTTCAATATTTAGACCAACAAAGCAATGAAACTAAGAAGTGAAAAAGCAATTGATTCGTAAATATGAAAAATTACCGGGCATTTTATCTCCGAGACCAAGGGAAACTGCAAGCTTGGGCATCTGCTTCCTCCAAGCAGACGCAACCACGAGCTTCCTATACAAATCTACATCCTCCTTCTTCACAATCCCGAAAGTCACCAAATGTTGCAAGAAGGTATGCACATCCGGGGTCTTCACATTCTCAATACCGCCCCTCTCCTCCAAGCTCTTCTTCCATGTATCTGCTATCTCCTCCGCCTTTCCCTTAATGGTCGGGGTCACCAGCATCCTCTCCTTCCCCAGCACTGGATCCATCATCACTGGAATCAATGATTCCAATAACAACACACAAGCCCATCCTAAGTCATTACTGAAATTGTGATTGTTATTATTATTCCGGTCAATTTTCACATTCCTTTTATCCACCGGAAAAACCTCTGAAATTGCCTCCAAAATAAATCTCGGCGGATCTACACAGTCGCTTAGGGCCTTTGGCAACTCCGATCTCAATAATTCCAGTTCTTTCTTTCGCGCTGTAATAAAATCCCAAAAATTCCTGGCTGCAAACTTGCAGCAGAAGGATTTCAACTTCAGATACAAACCCTCGGAGTTATCTACTTCAGATTCTTCATTCTCGTCCCCACCTTTACACACAGTAAGATCCTTCGATAATGCTCCAGAAATTGAGGATTTCGTTGCCTTTTCCAGTGATTCAAAGGCTATAGACATCGTCTTAGAAATTGAGGACTCACGGTTATCAAGGACTTTCAGAGACGTCTGAGTTTCCGAATTCAAAGCTTGGAGCTTGGCTTTCAGCGCATCGGCTTGCTTCTGGAGGTCCTGTTCGAGCGAGGAGAAGTGATCGGAAAGTTCCTTCCAGAGGAGAGTGCAGCTGGTCATCAGAGAGGTTTGGCGCTGAAACTCATCGAAACTCGGCGGTGGCGCCGGTGACGAACGCGGCGGTGATAACTCGCCGGGACTGGGTAGTGAACCCATTGTGAGAGGGAAATTGTGTTTGTTATTCCACGGTCGAGAAAATGAAACCCTAATGAAATTTTAGAGAGAGAAAAAGGAGAGACGGGGATTGTGGTAGAGAGATAAGCCAAGTTGAAGATTAAGGGTGAGGAGTTGATGATGTGTACGACTGAAAGATCGACACGTGTGAATTGTCGGGTGAAAAATTAACAAATTGTTAATTAATATTATTAAAAAGTAAATTGCACCACTGCCGTCCAACCTATTGGCACAGTAGTCAATTTGGTCCTTAAAATTTTATTATAATCTACAAATATTAAATACATAATTAGCCCATGTTTCAATTAGATAAAAAAAAAAAGATATTTAGTAGATTTTGATAAAAATTGATAGAATGTGTTGTTGGAAAGTTCTGAATTATATAAAATGTGTTAATAAAATTAATTATTGATTTTGTATTAGATTTTAGTTTACTTTTTTAGTTAAACAAAACACGAACTTGGATGAAAACTGTTCAATTTTTTTGTATTTTCATGAGATATTTACTTATTAAACCTCTGGTTGGTACGTAATAAAATCTAAATTTTAATTTAAGTCAAAGTCAACAATTAATTTTAACCATATATTTGATAGGACTCACAATTTTTCATTCTTACAACTCATCAACTTTTATCAAAAACTAATTTTAATCACACCAAATAAGGGCTAAATCAAACAAGCCCCTAATACTTATCTAAATCAAACAGAGGCTCAATTTCGTCCATGAGCATGTCAAATTTTACTTATCAAACGTGTAATGTTATTTCTACATGATTATATTAAGCCATGTTTGATATTCTTAAAATTTAAAAAACATTATTTTGAATAGTATTTTTGGAGAACGTATAATTAAAAATATGGAAAAAAAAATTTAGGTTTATATGTAAATGTGTGGTCGAAAATGAGGTGGGAAATAAGTTAAATTAAAGTAAATGATGTCAAACAAGGGCTAAATTTTAATGTATCAAGCATTTAATTCTACTTATTTAGCCCATGTTTGGTTCAGTTTAAAAATTTATTGGAATTTAAGTTAAAGTTAACAAATTAATTTTAATCACACGTGTCCATAATTTTTCAATCATACATTCCATTAACTTTAACCAAAATCTACTAAAATTTGATATTCATCTAAATCAAAATGAGTTATTTCAAAAAATTATCTTATAAGCAAACTATTTATATACAAAAATTTAAAACTTAGACAAACAAGGACTTAAAAGTCACTTTTTTAATTTATGTATCACCTTTTTGTCAAAAACAAAAGAAAGGATAATAATGGAGTGGCGGTAGCCGCCGGAGGAGTGGGTGGTGGAAATAATGAAGATCGAAAAAGAAAGGCTGAAAAGTTGGGGAAATTGGTGGGGGCAATGAGTGCCCACCACATGGTTTAAGTCAGATAAAGTAAAGCCATTGTCGGCCTTAGAGACGTAAATAATTTGAATTCACTGCTGCATGGGATTGAGAAGTGATTTTGTTTAGCCTACTTT